GAGATTATTGAGTGTTGTTCAGATGTTGATAGCATTTTCATTATCCAAATGACTGGTACACGATACTGAGGACTAAAGAAGACTAAAGTTTCCTAACCTGAATGATTAGAATGACTATTTTTCCTTCTCTGATTTGCTTCCCAATTTATTTATTCTCCCCCACTCACCACACATCAGAAAAAGCCAAGGAAGACATGCACAGAAGGGAGCAGTGAACCTGGGCAATAATCCAGATAATTCAGGTGAAAGAATTCTTTTGTTTGATGGATCAAATATTGCAGCAAAAGTGGCCTTCAGGGAAGGGGACGTGGGGTAGAGCGTGTTCTTCCCTGTAGGAAATCCATAGTGATCGTGTTGGGGCGGGGCACCTCTTGGGCCCTTGGCTGACTTTCTTGTTCTCTCTCCCTCCTGTGAATGGCTCTGTTTATCTCCCTCTGAATTACTTTTCCTTGGAATGTCTCTCTCTGGCCCCCTTTCCCATCTCTGAATGTCTCTGTCTTCTGAACCGCTTTCTACTGCCGACTTTCCCTTTGATTTTCAGCTTCTCATTTTTCTTTTCCACTTTCCACTTGTTTGTATCTGTGTGACTTTGTCACCTTCCCTCTCTGGCTTCTGGTCTGTGGTGTCTCTCTTTTCTCTTTTCTCCTGTTCTTCATTCCTAGGAGTTCATTTTGTCTTTCTCCTTCTCTCTATCTCTATGTCTTATTTCTCCTTTTCCCTCCTGACTCCCCTTTCCTCTCCTCCTCTCTCCTCTGTCCACTCTTCACTCCCCCCGGTCCCCCATTCTCTGTCCGTCCCGCCATCCTGACAGCCCCTGAAAGCTGCCCTACCCACTCCAAAAAATCCATTTGGCTGTTCCTCAATGACCAGTTTTCTTTCCTGCGGTTAGAAAGTAGCTCAGACCTTAACCCATTTCCTCTGGCAGATTCAAATTAATTAGGTGAGACCAGGGTTGCACATTTCAGAATTAGAATAATATTTATTGAGCACCCTGGAGAGCAGGGGATGGAAGCTGGAGAGGAACCAGAGCAAAGAGGGAGGTCACTGAGCTGAGGAGTTGGGAGGGGAAGCTGGCAAAGCAACCTGCTCCTAAAGCCATGTGGCCTGAGATAAGAACCCACTTTCTCATTGCCAGAGGGCACTGGAAGGGTTAGATCTTGGTGAATGATCCAGGAGCAGGTATAGGACCAGGAGCATTTCCCTGGCTATCACGCTCTTCAATGGGACAACACACGGTGGGGCCCCAGGACTCAGGTACCTTGAGAAACAGTTTTTGGTACCATCCTCCTCCTTGGCTCTGCTGCCCAGCACATCCCTGACTACTGAGCAGCCAAAGTCCCCTCTCCCAAGTTATCTCCTTTCATCCTATGGCCCAGAAACAGGAGGACGCAGCCTTGCTGTAACCCAGAGATATTGCTTGTTCAGCAGCAAGCACTGAACCTGCTAGTCTTCAGGAAGACGGCCCTGTCTTGAACATGAAGCACCTACTTCCTTGATTGCTGAGTAGACATCAGTCAAGGTTTGTCAGCCTTACTGCTATTGATATTTTGGACTTGATAATTCTTTGCCATGGGGAGTGTCCCGTACATTGTAGGAACTCAACAGCATTCCCAGCCTGTACCCACCAGGTGCCAGAAGCACCTCCCTCCATAGTTGTGACAACCAAAAATGTCTCCAGGTACAGCCACATATTCCAGGAGGGGATGTAAAATCACCCTAGTTGAGAATTACAGATTAGACTTGATCTTGGATGATCAAAGGGAATGGACTTAATCACATGACTCCATTCCCCTTCATAGGCATAAAAGAAGTAAGAATCTGTATAAGAACTTGGAAGGCAAGAGAAAGGATAGAACCTTTCTTAGATAGATATCTAAGAAACCGCTGCTAATAACAATCAAGATTAACTATCTACAATCATTAATAGTCTTCCCTCATCAGCCCTCTCCTAATCCTGGAGTATCCACAAATCTACTTTCTATCTCTATAGATTTGGTGAACTGGACATTTAATATAAATAGTCTGTTGTGACTGGCTTCTTTTGCTTAATGTGATGCTTTCAAGATTTCTCCATTGCATAGCATGTGTCATTACTTTCCTTTTTTATGACTGAATAATTCTATTTTGTGGATACATTCACACTTTCTTTATCCACTCATCAATTGATAAACATTTGGCTTGCTTCTACTCTTTGGCTCTTACGAGTGCTGCTGCAATGAACCTTCATATCAAGTTTTATGTAGTTATGTTTTCATTTTTTTTGAGAGTATTTGGGAGTATAATGGCTGGGCCATAGACTCACTATAGGTTCAATATTTTGAGGAACTGTTAAACTGTCTTCCAAAGGGGCTACACTATTTTAAAGTCCCATTAGCAGAGAGTGAAGACTCCTGTTCTCTAAATTGTTCTCAACAATTGCTGTTCCCTGCCTTTTGTGTGTAGCCATCTTAGTGTGTCTGAATGGGCATGGTATGCAGTGGGATTTTGATTTGTGTTTCCCTAGTGCTTAACTGTACTAAACTACTTTTCATGACTATTCTCTTTGGAGATATGGCTCTTTACATCCTTTGCCCATTTTAAAATTGAGATATTTGGTTTTTAAAAATTCTTGAGTTGTAAGATTTCTTTATATGTATTCTGGATACAAGTCTGTTATCAGATAGGTGCTTTGCAAATGTTTTCTCCTATTCTGTGAATTGTCTTTCATTTTCTTGATGATATCCTCTGATGCACAAATGTTCTTATCTATTTTTCTTTTGTTTCTTGTGCTTTTGATGTTATATCTAAGAAACCACTGCTAAATATGAGAAGTCACAATGATTTACTCCCATATTTTCTTCTAAGAGTTGATAGCTTTAGGACTAATATTTAGGTATATGACCCATTTTAAATTAATTTTTGTGTATAGTGTGAGATAAGGGCCTAAATTTATGCTTTTATTATGGAAAACTACTTGTTCCAGGACCATTTTTTGAAAAGAAAAGTATTCTCTGTCCAGTTCTTGGCACTCTTATCAAATATGAATTGACCATAGATGTATGAGTTTATTCTGGGGCTTTCATTTCTATTTATTTGGGCCTATATATCTATTATAACTGAGTCTTTGATCATCAGAAGGATGAAAGAATACAGGTATTTTGCATGAATGAATGCTTTAAAAAGTATATAAAATAAAGTTATCAAGTGTCAGAATCAGAAGGGATCTTAGAAGTCATGTTAATTTGTCAGCTGTCGTGGTGCACACCTGTAATCTCAGCGCTCAGGAGGTTGAAGCAGGAGGAACACAATGAGTTCAAGGCCACCCTTGGCTAGAAAGCAAGATCCTATCTAAAAAAAAAAAAATGATGTTAATTTAAAGCCTTTGTTTTCCCAATGGGGAAGAAGTGATTACATTTCACTTCAGTGGTGTTTGTCCAGAGTTTCATGGCCAATCAGCAGAGCTGGGATTTGAACCTAAAACTTGCTCTTTAGGACAATGCTTTTTCCTTATTCCTAGGACCCAAATGGCTGATGCATGGCCCCGGACCCAGGCCTTCCCTGTTTCTTTCTTCTGAACATGTGGTTCTGTGTTCTGCCTGTCCATGGAAGTGTGTGGGGTGTGTGTGTGTGTGTGTGTGTGTGTGTGTGTGTGTGTGTGTGTGTCTGTTCCTTTCTTGACAGACTGAGAGCAGTGAAAGCCAGCGAAAGGAAAGCACTTGGAAAATCTGAAATTGCTATATAAATGCCACTAAATGAAAAGATTGCCAGCTTGATGCTCTTCTAGGAAGGTTCAGAGTGTCACAGGAGGCATAATAGAAGGAGATCATTCACTCTCAGATACTGTTGTGCCTGTCACTTTCCAAGGGGGCAGAGTACTAGAGCTGGACTGGGAAGTAAAGGGAGCCATGGGGCGGGCTGGGCATGATCTCAGCAGGGCAGGCCTGGCTCAGAGAGGCCTGGAGTTAGGCTGCCTCACCCACCACCCCTCGGGGATATCTCAAGTACATGGAGTGTCTTTGCCCTGTTGGGTCAAAAAGGGTGCAGCAGGACCCGGGGATGTTATCCAGAGGCAGCTAGCCTTTGTGGCTAGTCCACACTCATCCATGCTCCTTAAGGCATTCCTGCTGTCTCTTTTGCCATGACTACTAACTCCCGTTTCGTCCTCTGAGGGAGTCCTGTTTGAAACTAGGTGGGGGAGCCATACCTCCTAAATTGTGGGTTCCTAGAGGGCAGGAATGGGGACCTATTTACCTCTGTCTCTGCAGGGACCTTTGCAGGCCTCGTCTTCAAGAAATACATGTTTAGTTGTTGAAGGTAGGTGTCGAGTAAATAAAACCCTTTCTTTGGGTCATTGAATGTCTTGGTGGGGGGTCGTCTCACCGCTCAGGCAGAATCTCTGTGCATCTTTATTTTTTCCTGTGGATTTTTTTTCCTCTATGTTTATAATTGTTCCCTCTTCTAAACTCCATTTGCCTTCACTGCACCATCCGTGTGTTCTGATGTTTATCTTTTTATCTGATCATCCAGCCTTTCCAGCTAAATCACACTTCTCTTTGACAGCAGGTGGGGTGTGTTGTACTTATTTGGGTTACCAATACCTACTGCATGCTGCTCTGCATGTACAGGGGAGGCTGGTCCCCCAGTAGTTAGTACCCTGCTACCTCATGCGAGGCCAGTGGTGTCGGCCCTTTTCCAAGGTGGCACCACTCCACTGCCTAGTTGCTGGCAGTTCTGGCTGATGTAGGTGGGTATTTGTGGAACTAATATTTTGAAGGAGCTCAGAGTTTGCTGACGTGGAATAAATTTCAGAAAAATTATCAGCAGTCTTTTAGCATCTGTACCTCGAGGCATGGTAACCTCTCACTAGCCAGCATTAGATGAGGCTGTGACTATTGAGAATTGAGGGTTATGTCTCTGTCTCTTCCCCTGGGTCCAGGTCTCAAAGGACGTACAAAAGTGAGCCACTTGGCTCTGTGGTTGTGCACATGAGAGTCTCACCGTGTGATCTCTTCCTTCCTTAGGGCTCTGGCTGACATCTTAAGACAACAGGGACCAATCCCCATAGCACACTGTGAAAGAGAAACTATCTCGGCTATCAATACCTCTCCCAAAGAGAACACGCCGGTCAGGTCGTCCTCCAAAAATCACTACACCCCCGTGCGTACAAGCAAGCAGACTCCAGGTAAGTGAATGCTGATCACCTCCAGTCTTTGCTGAGACTGTTGACAGGTTTCAGTGATGCTCTGCTCCGGTGGGCCAGATTGTGAAGTCCTGTGTAGTGAAGTGTCGTGGTGGAAGGAAGGACTGAGGACTTCTCCTGGAAAGGTTGTGGCCTGAGAGGGATCGCTGCTGATCAGTGTCTGTGCTGGATGAGGGCTGTTGATGCTTTGGGGCACCTGTGCTTTATTGAGTGGCTGGTTTAATTCTCTTCTTTGAGAGGTGGCATGCAGCAGCCATAGGCGTCCATTTGCCTGTGTGGTGGGAAAGTTTGGGCTGACTGCAGTGCTGTATATGCGACAAAAGAACCCTGCACTCAGGTACAGAGTCCGCTCAGCTATTGGAACTTTAGAGTACTTCCTGAGGGTGGGAATGTTGTCTGTATTTTAAGGCCTCCCTTTTCCGTGGGTTATAGATTCCCTGGATATATGATGAGTTGCCATATAATGATGATATACAGTTGAGCTTAACGTGTGGTTCCAGGACCCCTGAGGAAACCAAAATATGTAGCTGCTGAATTCCTTTTATGAAGTGGCATAGTGTTGGCCTATAACTTGCACATATCCTTCTGTATGCTTTAAATTATCTTTAGGTTTTATAGTATCTAATACGATGCAAATGCTCTCTAAATAGTTCTTATGCTGTATTGTTTAGAGAATAAAGTCTGTGCCGGTTCAGTGCACTTGTAATTTTTTGAATAATTTTGATTCATGGTTGAATTCTGTTGGATTGAATCCTGCAGTCGGTTGGATCTTGCAGTTGGATGCAGAACCTGGGACATATGGAGAGCTGACTGTACCTCCTACCCTTTTACTTGGTCATCACTAGAACACGACGAAAGAAATTGGGTTAGATTTATTTTTCTTGTCTTATGGATCATTAAATTAAGCTCCAGGATATTTAGTAACTTGAACAAGGTCATAAAGGTGTAAATAATAAGAAAACCATCAATAATAGTAGTAATATAATGTAAATATTTAATGAGCTTACTCTTTGCCAAACATCATGCTGAGCACTACACTTATTTTCTTATTTAGTCTTCACAACAATCTTAAAAGTACTTATATTATCAACATTTTAGAAGAAGAATAAAAAGGTTAAATAACTTTCCCAAGGTCACATAATTAGCAAGAGAAAACTAGGACTACTATATTATCAACATTTTAGAAGAATAAAAAGGTTAAATAACTTTCCCAAGGTCACATAATTAGCAAGAGAAAACTAGGACTTAAATCAAGGCAAATAGTTAACAACAGTCATGACTAAAAACCATAATATCCTTACCCAGTTCGGGACATGAATGCAAAGTATCTGATCAGACAATGTCTTTACATTTTGATAAGTCATATCTCAGTGTAAGCTTTACCAGAAAACCCAGTACTGGCCCTGCTTTCCAAGTTTCTACTGTACTTTAGTGCTTAGATATTGGGGAATTCATGTCTTGTGCTCCATAGTTTTTCAAAGGATGAGGTATAGGGTCTGAACTAAACTTGCAATAAAGATGTACTGTCCCTGCATGGCATCGCGGTGTCTAGATCCAAAACTAGCAGAGGTGCTGCTGAGATAAAATTTATTTTCTATTCATTCTTTAACTTTCTTAAATGAATGAAGCCACGTTAGCTTTTAATATTGTAGTTTTAAATCTTTTTGAACGCTGACAAAAGCAAGGGACATCCTCCCTTGAAGATATACATGCATATACACAGATAAATGTATGTATTCATCCAACAGTTTGTGTAGGATTTAAGGGGAGTCACCCCCTGCAAGTTAGAAATTCCTGATTTAAAGGTAAAATGAAGGATCTACCTTTGCAAAGAGTCTTAAGATGCATTTTCAGCTGTAACATCCTGGATGGATCCTTGAAATGGAAGTAACAGATGGAATCGTGGTACAAACATCTGCAGCAGTGGTCATCTACTACCTGCTTGTACATTGGAAAGTTCTTTAAAATGCCCAAGTTCCACAGATTAACTAGACTTCTAGGAATGGGGATGACCATCTCTGCTTTAAATTTATTTTGATTCTAACATGCAGCCAGGGTGAAAAATCAACAGTCCAGATGGATTCCTTCATGCAGAAGTGACAACTTTGAGTGTCAGTAATTAATCCTCCAACTTGACTGCACATTAGGATCATTGGGAAGCTTTCAAAATTAAGATGCCTGGAACCCTTACCTAGAGATCATGATTTAACTGATGTGGGGGTATGACATGAGAATGGAGTAAGGTATTTAAATTTTCCTTAAGTATGAAAGTGCTAAGAATCAAATTGCTTAAAGACATTATTCTAACTAATATTTGTTACCATTGGTCATTCTTTAGTCTAAACTTGATATAATTGCCAGTTTTAAGTAGGGTGTTTTTTCCCAGAGATTCATCATTTGAAGTGGGTCTCCTCCAGAGCTTGGCCCGTGACACTAACTTCAAGTCTCAAAAGTGTCCCTGGTTGTTTATTTTCACCTCTGTGCTCAGGTTTTCTCTGTCTTATTCACAACTGAACTAGTTCTTAGCTACTGAATCAGACTCATTTGCTCTTAAGGATACTTCTCTGGGCAGTAAGTTTTGTCATTTCTTGTGGTTTCCATAATATCCTGTCTTATAGCGAGCTGAGAAGGGAGCTTTTACAGTTAACATGATTCACTTCTGTGTTTCAAGTGATCCCTCCCTGCATTTGTCAAATTGTAGCTCTTCATATTGCTTTTAGAAATGGAAATGGTTTCCCTGGCCCAGAAAACAGTCTCTGTCATGAAACCAAAATGTAAAAGCAATTTCACAACATGCTACATCTTCTGTAGCTTACAACAAACCCAGTGTTTTTCCAAATAGCTGATATCTTTTGCCACAAAATATTGCAATTTGAGCAGAAATTTACAGAACTTTGGGTAAATGTTCAAAGTGGAAATTTACTGTGATTTCACCACTCATCAAATCAGCCAACCATCAATTGTAGTAAAGCAGTAAGAGTACTTAGGGAAATATTAAGGGAGAGGTCCAGAAACACCAGGATGCACTAAAACATATGGGTAGCTTTGCTCTTTGAAGTGCTGTCATTGGATCTGCTGTATTACTGTTGTCTGGGATTTGTGAGACATGCAGAATCTCAGGCTCACCTCATCTGCTGAATGAGAACTTGCATCTCAGTGAAATCACTTAGCAATTAGAATTTGAGAAGCACTGGAAAATCATGGGCTCAGTTAATTTCTTGGCACCATCATCTACTGTGCATCTGATCTCGGACATACAGGCTACTACCCCCAAATGCCTAGAGTTGTATTAAGAATATAATGAGTTAAACAAAGCAGAACATTTAAACAGGTCCCCATCCATAGCAAACACTGTTAACCATGACCAGGCTATGAAAGTACATCTGTAGCTTCTGAAAAAATGAATCGAATGCATGAAAGATCAAAATAATACATTGGTGTCCTTAGACTAACAGGATCCATAGACTTGTGACTGAGGTGGGTCAGAGTTTTGGAAGCTGAAAGCACACACTTGTTTGGCCTGGGAATTGGAGTGAGTGTTGTGCAGCAATTAATAATGACAACCTCATATCACAGGTATCACTTATTGAGCACTTACTATATACTGAATACTCAGCTAGGTATCCAGAACAGAGAATGTAGCATCTGTTAGATGTGGGAATTCCTACTTTCACATGGACAGAAAAGTTTTGTCCTTTCATCTAAGAGTCTTTTGCCTTCATTTGTCCCATGAGCCCCTTCCAAACTTTTCTTCCAGTATGGAGGAATGAACCCAGGGGTTGTGCATTGTGCTACATCCCCAGCCCTTCCCCACTTTTTTTCTTCTTTGAGATAGATAGGGCCTCACCAAATTGCCCAAGCTGGGCTTGAATTTGTAACTCTTGCCTCTGCCTCTGAGAGTGCTGGGATTACAGGTGTGTACCACCATGCAAATTCAAGCCCAGCATCTCTTGCTTTATTTTCTTCAGAGCACTTACCCCATCTAGCATCATATATTTGAGACTCATTTACTTAGCATCACTGTTCCTCCGAGAATATTGGCTCTGTGTGGGTAAGGATTTTATCTTTTCATCACTGTGGCATCCTAGAACAAGAACATTGTGTGGAAGGTTCTATCTGTGCAGTAACTGTGTATGTGCAGGGAATGAATGGAAGACAGGATGGTCCTGCACTTAGGGAGATGCAGGAACCAGAGCGTAGGTATTGGTTATGTAGTTGTTTGCTGAAGAGCCCAGGGAGGCTCTGGGCCATTCAGTAGTGCTCTCTATAAAATAGGTATAGAGTCAGACTGGTCACTGGGTGGGGAGCCAAGCTGGGAGGCCCTAGTTCCAGTGCTAGGCCTCTTACCTAACTCCATGGCTCCTCTCATGGCTCAGCACAGCCAACAGCTGGGAGCTTTGCTTCCTTGGCTGGCCTCAGAGAGGGCATCACTCAGGATAAGTGTTCCCACTTTGCTCAACCTGCCTTCCCAGAATGACTACTTAGAGCAGGATCTGGAGGTCCAAGTTAGCCAGAGTCCCTGTTCCTAGGGATAAGTTTAAAGTTGCCCATGGAGCTCGAAAATCTGGGCTGTGTATCTGAACTCCAGGACACAGCTGGACAACTTCATCTTCTCATGGAAAATGAAATCTTTCCTGCCGCCTTCTTTGCCAAGCACAAGGACCTGAGTTTGATCCCTGATACCAAAAAAAGAAAGAAAGGAAATGAGATCTTTCTTTTCTTGTCATCACAAAGCAAATAGAATTGTTTTTGTTCCACAGACAGTAGCCTCAGCAAACACGGAGTATGGTGAGATCCCTGCCCAAGCCTATGTTTGGCCTCCATGCAAGTTGGGACACATGGGTCACCTAGGTGGGAGATGACACACATTAAACACTAAACATAAATACGAATGTAAAGCCAGTCAGGGCATCATCTGGCACAAGAATACTACTTTAAATTTACACTATTGGTTATACATTAAAATCGGTTTCACCTGTTTC